CCGGTTCTATGAACCGGTCGCAACCGATTGAGTGCAGTAGGCCACTGCACCCGCCCGTCTAGACCGAATCCAGGGCCAAAGTGGCGTGTTGGTGAGGGAAGCCACACCTCAGCCACCAGGGTCCCCTTCTCCGGTCGTACGGGTCGCACCCCACGGTCAACGGGGTGCCTCGCGTTGCGGGGATTTGGGGTCTATTCTTTGCTGGACCGGACCTTCGGTCGACAGAACAGAAAGAAAGATAGATGGGTAGAAGACATAGCAAGAGCGGACAAAGATGTGGGTAAAATCAAAGCAAAATGAAGACTATGTGAAATACAGACTGGCAAGATGTCATAGCAAGAGGATAGTTAGAAGTTCCAAGGAACAGTCAGGGAAGGAATATGGCGAAATATTATTATTAAGGGAACTCGCAACGACATTTCTACAAAAATGTCAAAGAAATGAGACTACGAGACGAACCATACTGTAGTCAATGACAAAAAATGAAACCCACTCAGTGAGGAAGACAGCATCAAAAACAGATGGCAGGAGTATTTCTGGGAACTCCTTAACCCAAGCAGCCAAGGAAACACACAGAGCCAATTTCAACCACGATACCCAGGAGAAGATGAACCAAACATCTTAAGATAAGAGGTACAGCCGGTACTGAAGAATAACCCAAGGAACAAAGCAGAAGGCATTGACGACATTACAACTGAAGCTATCCTGGCAGGTGGAGAAACAGCACTCACCTGGCGGACCACAATATTCCAAAAAGCATGGAGGGAGAGGAGAGTCCCAGAAGACTGGCAGCGTGCAGTTGTGATACCAATCCGGAAGAAGAAAGGCAGCAAGAGAGACTGCAACACGTATAGAGGAATTTCCCTTCTGAGCTTTGAACAGCGTGCAAGGCACAAGGTGGAACAATTATTGAGTGAGGCGCAGATGGGCTTCAGAAAAGGGAGAGGGTGTTCAGACACTATCTTCGCTCTGAGATAACTGAGTGAAAGGACAATTGCATACAACAAATAACTGAATCTTGTGTTAGTAGACCAGGGAAAAGCATTTGATAGAGTAGATAGAAACAAACTGTGGCAAACACTTGAAGAGTACAGCATAAAGGGGCAACTTTTGGACAACATCAGTGCCATCTATACGAACAGTATGAGCACAGTCTGCACCCAAAACAAACTCACTGGCTGGTTCGACATGTCATCTGGAGTGAAAAAAGGGTGTGTGGTATCACCGCTTCTATTCATAATATACATGGACAAAATTACAAAAGAAGCAAACCCCAACCCGATAGACCTGAACGAATTGCTGTTTGCGGACGATCAAAGCCTGGCATTTGAGAAAGAAGAGCAACTTCAAGAGCACACAGACAGGCTGAATACACAAAGTGAAAAACTCAACATAAAGATCAGTAAAAACAAAACGAAGACGATGACAATCAGCAGAACACCAGGTAACCTTAACATCACCATTGATGGAAATCCGCTGAAACAAGTCAGCGAGTTCAAATATCTTGGTAGCATCTTTTCGGAAGACGGACATCTCAACAGAGAAATTGAGACGAGAGTACAAAAGACTAACAGCGTTAGCTACCAGCTTGCCCCACTCCTCGAACATCCTAACATCCCAATTGAGACCAAAGCCAAGCTCATTAACTCTATCTTCATCCCCACCTTGACCTACTACTGCCAGACATGGACCCTGACCAAAAGTCTGAAATGTAAGATAACCACCTGCGAGATTAGATGTCTGAGGAAAGCCGTCAACAAAACCACACGGGACATGGTCAGAAACAACAAGATCAGAGGAATGATGGGAACAACACCAGCTGTCCTCCACTACATTCGAAGGCAAACAATCAGGCGGTTTGGACATTTCATACGTATGGCACCTCATCAGCTTGCCAGTAAAGCCTACTACAGAAAAGTATCACGGTACAAGGCAAGAGGAAGACCAAGAAAGACATGGATCCAGGGTGTGAAGGATACCCTGAAAACATACAATATCCCACCCAGCCAGGGCATCAAACTTGCTAGAGACTGGGAGCTCTTTCTCCCCTCGACGCCCTAGAGGTACAAGAGGACGGATAAAGTAAAGTAAGTATAAACGTTTTTGTTCATCTCCAGGGCTCCTCACCCGTGATCCAGTCCAACAAAGGGACAAGGCTCAGATGTCCATAGATGGCGTCAGGGCTACCCTAGAGATATACTCCCAATGAGATGGCAAGAAATCTCGCCTTCCAACCAAGATTGACAAAAAAAAGCAGTTCCAAGAACCGGCCGTAACCGACTGAGTGCAGTAGGCCACTACACCCGTCCGTCTAGACCGAATCCAGGGCCAAAGTAGCGTGTTGGAGAGGTAATCCACACCTCGACCACCAGGATCCCTTTCTTCGGTCGTAAGGGTGCCTCACATAGTGGGGATTCGGAGTCTATTTTTTGCTAGACCCGATCTTGGGTCGACAGTTCGGACAGAAAGAATAATGGAAAGAATATATAGCAAGGACGGACAAAAGATGCCACACCTGTGTCAGAGAGCTAGTGTGGTGTATGAGTGGCATCCCATCAGCGGGAGGGGGGGGGGTGCACCCCCGGTTGATGTGACAGGCGACTCTTTTTTATTTTATTCAACGGTCACCTCAGGAAAGGAAGAAAGACGACAGAAAACCGACGATACACTTAAGTAAATGTCACCCATGCGCATCCGAGTATAGATCTTCATGGGCGACATTTCAACATTGAAGGGGTTGCACCTCCTGCTGGCGGAACAGTGAGTTTATTTACTATCCCCGCCCCCAACCCATGGGGGAGACGGATTTCCAGAAAAAATAGGGAAGATTGGAAGCACTGCAGAATGAGTTTTTTTATACTCTCAGCGCCCACCGTAAATCTGGTAGTTTTGACACCTTTATTAGTATGGCGGTAGGACAAGCCCAAAATCGGTAACTATCGAAAAATCGTTGGAATTAGGCAGCCCTGGTAAAAAAGTATATCTTATCACAGGTACCCAGCAACCACCAGAAGCAAATTTCGTCACGAGTATGATTGTCATGTTTTACACAATTTAGAACATTTGGGGGAACGGGCTACTTCAAAAACACCCCTTCACTATCTTAGAATTACAACGTTCTATCTGACATTTTGGCCGTTTTGAGTTACTTAGACCAAGAGGTCAGAAACCAAATGCTCTTGCCTCTATCAGCGCCATCAAAACCTAATATTGTTCGGAGTCATTATCAAGACATGCAAAGACTTGCATTCGAAAAAGCTAGACACATTGTGAAACTCAAAAGTTATAACATCGTATTTCTCAAAACTATGTACTGAGCAGATAGAACTTTGTAATATTAGGGTAACGACTTGTTATAACCGACGACAAAATATACTTTCACGCAGTAGCAAGTCAGTCCGTAGTAGTAGATTGTATTATTCAATTTGTATAACGCACAGTCTCAATGTTTCTTCTTAATAATAAACCCTATCTACAACAAAAACACAATCGCAACACATCCATTCTTGAAGAAAAAAACCAACAACAAACCCCCTCCCCACATGTTCTCACCATCACAAAATTGTTGGCCACTTTGTAAAGGTCCGTGCAACCTTGAATGTCTGCAAACTGGCGGATGCCGATGCAGTTGGATGGGTGTAGCTGCTTCATGAGAAAACTGCAGCAGGCCTCCACGACCTCAGACATTTGCAACAGGCACGCCGTGGACAAAAGGCTCTCTACAGTCTCCTCCTTCAGCTGGATGTGGCCTGGCAGGAAGAAAAGATGTGTTTGTTTGTTCATTTAAGTGAAGTGAACCACATCTACACAACAATGGTCATTTGGTGCAGGTAAAATGTTAGCTAAACAGACAGAAACAGCACAGTGGTGAGGGCCAACATGTGGTCCATTCCAACCACCTCTGTAAGTCGTAGGATGCAACAATTACTACTATAAAGCCACATTAAGGGTCATCCAGACACTCTATACTGAATAGAAATGTATGGTACAACCCGTGCAGTTCGGTACAGTAAAGCGTAACATTGCACTATAGTGTTATGCAGTATTGTTAAGTGTAGTGTAGAGCAATGACATGTAGTGCAGTACAGTACAATAAAGCACAGTGCAGTATAGTTCGATAGAGTTACAGCACGTCTCAGTACAGTTGAACCTAATATTATGCTTTTAACACCCCCTCTAGTCTAACACTATAAGATTAATGACTGGCGAGACCAACAAATTTACAATTCTGATAAGACCAAGTCAAGTAGGGTGAGGCCAAGCTCAAGAACATCCAATTTGGGATTTGAACCATTATCATCTGCACAATATCAGCTGAGCTACTCCAATCCCAAGAATATATAAACAAACTGAGTTCATTTTTATTAATCGTGTGCATGCATGTTGTTTAAAAGTGTGTAAGGCGGTGGGTAGATATTTTAGAGATATATGTAGAGTGGACTACAGTGCTGATATACTCCACTTTCACTCCCTACTTATTTTTGTTTTACTCCTCAGTGGGAGAAACCGACGCATACAGAGCACACAATAAGGAACGAAGAAAAACAAAACATTCTCTTCAGCAGATAATTAAATCAGAAACTAAATTAAAAACGTTCAAAGGCCCCAATCCAAAGAAAAAGAACAGACCACCAAAACAAAACAAAAAAAAGAAACGAAAAAGCCCCCAAAAAAGAAAGAAAATAAAATAAATACACTGTACAATGTCTTCGCAGAGAAAAAAAGTCATCTGCGAAAACATCTTATCGAAGACTGTAAAAACAGCATTTGCTGAGGCAAGACACATAAAATCTGAATACATTCAAAATACAGGTACTTTGGATCAAGGCAAAAGTAATTTATCGCAGAGATGTGACAATCTAAAATGTGTTTATAGCAATGGCAAATGTCAATCAGAGCCCCGGCATTAAAGAACATAATCGTATCTATTAAAGTTGGCTTTTTTTACGCCCATATCAAAACAATTTAAATAATTTTAAAACAGGGTCAACCCAGATTAA